GTCCGTCAGGCGGCCAAAGCAGCGCTGGGTGGAGTGCGCCCCCCCGCACTGGTCACCCGCTCGGTCGCCGGTGCGGAGGACGTAGGTGCACGGACCAGTACCCCCACCCCGCTGGCGTGCAGCGTACCACTCACGGAGCTGCTGAGGGGGGGGGATGTCACGAGTGCGCTGCTGCTGCTGCTGCTGCTGCTGCTGCTGCTGCTGCTGGCGCTGACCACCACCGGAGCCGACCCTCTGCGCAGCGCCACCCCGACCAGCTCCACCTCCTCCGCCGCCGCCTCCTCCACCGCCGCTACCTCCGCTCCCACCGCCACCGCCGCCGCCGCCTCCGCCTCCACCGCCGCCACCGACACCTCCACCCCCACCACCACCCCCACCGCCACCCCCACCCCCTCCACTGCCTCCACCGCCGCCTCCACCGCCCCCGCTAGCTCCTCCAGTGCCCCTGCCCCCCTTGCCCTTGCCAGGGCGGCGTCTCCCGCTAGGGGTAGACGCCGCACCGACCGACTCAAGCCCAACGAGGTCGGCCGCAGCAGCAGAGGCAACAGAGGGCAAAAGGGGGGAGGGGGAACACCCCTCAAAGATGGGGGTGTGAGGGTCACCACGAGAGGCTCCTACAGCGACTATGCTCTTCTCTGCTGCTAGGAGGGACTTCTCGAGGAGGTCAACGGTGAGAGTGGTGGGGCAAACTGAGAGGAAGTGGTCCCTGACTACGCGAAGGGAGTCAGGGAGCCGGGTGACTATGTAGTAGAGGGTGATGTACATGGGGGGGGGGTTCTTGGCGCAGAACTCAGCAGGAAGCGCAGCGCGGTAGCGAGTGTCACTAGTGCGGAGGTGCGTAATGAGGTCAGCGACTGTGGGAAAGGCAGCAAGGTCAGGGAAGAGGTACGGTAGCATGAGGCGGCTCAGTGCAGCAGTGGCAGGGGAGGAGTAGCGCGCAACTACAGCGTCGTACAAGGTGTGAGCACTCTTGTACTGGCTAAAGTGCGCACGCTCAGAGGTAGGCAGGTGGCGACGCACAGCAAGACGTGCAGCAGCATCGCGCGTGGCCCACTGTGAGCGAACAGTGGCGTCAGCATCAGCAGCGGGGGCAGGGGAGGCACCAGAAGTGAGGTCAAAGAGGGAGAGGCCGTCTGCTCTGTCGCACTGTAAGAAAAGCTGCAGGTCATCTATCCAGACGTCAAAGTCAATGGCCCGACCCTCAGCATCAAACGCGAGGACACTAGGGGTAGCCATGACAGCAGTAGACTAGCAGCGTAAACAGTAGGGTGAGGGCAGTGCTGTGAAAGAGGCGCTGCTCTTACCGGACAGGGTGGCTCGGCGGCTCGGCTGCTGGGCGGCTCGGCGGCTCGGCTGCAGGGCGGCTCGGCGGCGCGGCTGCTGGGCGGCTCGGCGGCTCGGCTGCTGGGTGGCTCGGCGGCTCGGCTGCTGGGCGGCTCGGCGGCTCGGCTTCTGGGCGGCTCGGCTGCCGGGCGGCTCGGCGGCTGGGCGGCTCGGCTGCTTGGCGGCGCGGCGGGGCCGCTGAGAGGGCGGCGTCTGGGGCCGCTGGGAGGAGGCGGCGAGGCCGCTGAGAGGAGGCGGCGGGGCCGCAGGTAGGTGGCGGGGCCGCTAGTAGGTGGCGGGGCCGCCGGTAGGTGGCGGGGCCGCTGGTAGGTGGCGGGGCCGCAGGTAGGTGGCGGGGCCAGCACAGGTAGGTGGCGGGGCCGTGGGTAGGTGGCGGGGCCGCTGGTAGGTGGCGGGGCCGCAGGTAGGTGGCGGGGCCGCTAGGAGGTGGCGGGGCCGCAGGTAGGTGGCGGGGCCGCAGGTAGGTGGCGGGGCCGCTAGTAGGTGGCGGGGCCGCAGGTAGGTGGCGGGGCCGCACAGGTAGGTGGTGGGGCCGCACAGGTAGGTGGGGGGGCCGCGGAGGGCGGCAACGAGCCGTAGGGGGCCGTGAGGGGCCGCGAGAGGGGCCGTAAGGGACGGCGCGAGGGGCCGTAAGGGGCGGCACGAGGGGCCGTAAGGGCGGCGCGACGGGCGCGACGGGCCGTAAGGGCGGCACGAAGGGCCGTAAGGGGCGGCGCGACGAGCCGTGAGGGGGCCGCTAAGGGCGACGCGACGGGGCCGTGAGGGGCCTAGCGAGGGCGCGACGGTAGGGGGGAGCACCCAGGGCGCGACTCGGGCCTGAGCGAAGCGCGCTCCGGGCAGGAAAAAAAAAATTTCGTGGTGGTGGGCCCTAGGAATCGTTCCCACTAGGGAACCTGCTCGATACCATGAGAAGAAACGAGGAATGAAAATGACTAAGGGAAAGTTGGGTACAAAAACAAACCCTAGAAAACTGTACCCTATATGTGCTACCCCACTATAGCCTACAGTAGCTCTGTCATATAAATCTGACATCGTATTCCTCTGTACTATTATATAAACCTATGTATGCCTTTGTTTTAATCATCTCAGTCATTTACATTCACTTTGACCTGAGGTCAACACTTCCGCTGCAACAAACTACATGCGATCAACCCTGAGCCGATCCCGGCTAAGTCCTGTTTAGGATTGTAACAGCGCTGGCGTGCAGCGCGCACTGCTGCTGTTCGCGGTGCTTACGCGTTGGCATGGGGCGCGAACCGAGGGGCCTTCGGGGCGCGAATCAGGGGGCCTTCGGTGCGCGAATTCGGGGGCCTTCGGGGCGCGAATTGGGGGGCCTTCGGGGTGCGAAAAGAGGGACCCGCGGGGGTCGTCTATGGGGCGATTCGGGGGACCCGCGGGGCGCATTACGGGCTGCGTGACGTGTGGGCCCATGATTCTTTTTTTAAAAAGGGGGGGGGGAGGTTATAGGAAAGAACCTAATCTGGTAGCATGTTAAGATGAGAACTAAGCTTGGGAAGCTTAGGAACGAGAGAGACGTGAGAAACATGAGAGAAAGGGTTTCAATAATGAGAACAAGTACAAGTTATAGAAGGGAATGTGGCAACGGGGGTACACCACCAACAGAAAGAAAACTAACATGATACTACATTCACTAGTTTGCATGAAGTTATAAGAATATAATTCTATCAACGTTCGGTCGATTTCATCGACACTGAGGCTGCCTCGCGTCGCCTTCGGTTTCCCCTTGCCCAGCCTACACCCAACCTCGCATTGCCGAGGTTTCCGCCTAGCTAGGTTAGCCCGCTATATAATCATGTGTCTTTCATTGAATGGTCGGTCGGTCCATATTGTCACAGATTCTTTATTCGTTATTCCGCGCAACTCTGTTGAACAACTCATAACAAGCCGGTACCATGAGGACGTGTAGTTTTGTTTTAAAAGCCTACGAGCCACTCACTGGTGCACAACTGGTTTGTTTGTGACAGATCGAAGCATCCCTATCCACTATGAATCGCGGTGCGCGCACCTGGATGCACGCGACAGGTTGGCAGCCGTCGCAAACGGGTCCGTGCGTCACGAACGACGTCCAACAAGAAGCGCTTGCACCCTCGTACTGGACAACACCCAGCTTGTGCGATGTTTGCGATGAGACGAAAATCGCGACCCGTCAGGTTCGGAAGGCTTCAGCGATTTGGCCGTGGTGTTCGTGGCGAGCCGCCGTGAATCTTGGCCTCATTCTGGCAGAGTGAAAAGTCCCTCCCTCGCCTCAAAATGTTGGCACAGAGAGGGGTGGAGACACTGGACAGCTGACTGGTATTTCTATGCTAATATTATGGTCGTAACCGGGGTATGGTTTCAGAGCACCTTTTCTTTAGAAGTCACCGAAAGTACATGCAACGGGAAGTGAGTAAAGAGAGTCGGGAATGATTCAGTAGAGGACGAAATTACGCTTTCACAGGTAAATAAATGCTACAACGCCGTGACAAAGAGAACCAGGCGGTCCTAGCGATTAGAAGGGAATGTGTTATAGAATACATGTTTTGCAAATGATGCAAGGGTAATTACTCTCTTTGAAATAACCCATACGTGCATTTCCCCTACTTGTTGAGTTGCATTGCAGGAGGACAACGCACAGTTGAGCCACACACGCACAGAACAGCAATCGCATTTTCCTCTCTCAGCTACCAGCAGAAACTGGTGAATGGTGTGGGAACTAAGGAGGCTCCATTTGTTTAGTTGCCAGAATAAAGGCTGCTTTTGGCGGCGCGTCAGCTAGCACGCTCGCATTGACCTCCTTTACCTTCCGTTAAGACCGTCCAAGCCTTTAGCAATTCGCTTCTCCTCTTTGTCCGTTCGTTTGATCGGAAGGCGCGACACGACGAGACCGCGCTTTCTGCTGTTAGACAATAAACTCCACTCTGGATTAGTACAGTCGACGAATCGCCTCTGCTCCGTACGCGCACTTAGTGTCATTGCCGATTTCTGTGATTCTGGTTCTATTCTGCGACGAATTTCGAGGCGCCTCAGGCTACAATGTTCAATCAGTTCCGACCAGGCTCAGGCGGGGGCGGAAGACCTGGGGGCGGGACCGCGGTACAATCGGGCGGAAGAAGCGCGGATGCTGTCAGTGCGGGAGCCCGCGACATGGCGGAGAGCCGGCAGGCCGCCGCAGCATTGGCGGAACCCCGGGATGGCGGAAGACATGGTGATTCGCGCGCGAAGCAGCGCGGAGGGGGGATTGGCGCGTTTCCGCTAGTTGCGCTTGTTGGTGCTGTCGGCTCTGGCGTCGCGGTACGTGCCGCTATAATCTCTTAAACTACCCGTCCAAGCTCCTTCGGTGCCTCTCTTCTCTCTCTCTCGGTCTTTCTCCCTCACTCTCTCCCAGCTCGTTCCATGCTCTCCGTTAGTGTTTGTTCTTAGAAAGGGATACGCGTTATTGAGCGAAGGGCGCCTCAACCGCCGCCGCTGCGCGGCGTGTCGCGTGTTGCTTGCACCGTGTATGACCGTATCGCACCCCTCGCCGCGTGTCAGTCTCTCCTGCAACATAACACCGTTCCGTGAGATGAAACGACGTGTCCCGCGATCGTCACGCTCCATGTACGTCGTGTCATCTCTCAACTGTCTGTTCCGCGTGTCATCTCTCCCGTTCCTTACAGGCGCTTGTGATGCATCTCCGCGGGGCGGAGCAGAAGCGCGCCGAGCTGGAGCGCCACGTCAGCATGCTGCAGAAACAGTTGGCGAAACAGCAGGTAAGAACAGCGAACGAACGCGCCGGCCGAGCAAGGCAATCCAAGCGCGCAATCAAGCGCGCCGAGAAAGCGCGCCGATAATAAACATATCCTCCCACCCCACCCTTCCTCCAACGCCTAAACACTTCTCCCCGCCACCTGAGCGCATTTAAGAACATGCGAAACCAGTCTTCGGCTGGGACCTCGCCCGCTATGCTGTCCGCCGCGACCGGTCCGACATTGGCGGCCTCAGCGGTGTTGCCTGTTTCCAGAGCGGTGGAGCGAGGTGGAACGAGGTAACGCGAGGTAAAGCGAGGTGCAAATAAAGGGAGAAAAGGTGGGACGAAGTGGAGAGTGGAGTCGAGTTGGGTGAAGACAGCGGAGTGTTGTGCGCGTGAAGTACCGACAGGAGGAGCGGCGGAGGGGGCGGGGGAGAAGGGGAAGGGGGGGAGGGGTGAAAGGGGCCGTAGAGAGGTGGCGGGGAGCAGTGCATTAGAGCGCGCGGGCCGTCCATCTCGACGCGAGAGGCGACGCGCGCTCATGACATTAGTGAGGAAGGTTAAGGGTAAGCGAGCGCGTGAGGGTGAGCCGTCATGAAGTTCACTCGCGGCGGCGCCTGCGCCTCGCCCTCGCGAGTCGCTCCACCCACCTGTCGCAGTATTTCCAATGTGCTGTAATCAAACACGACACTGCCACCCCACCCCCTTTCCTCCCGCCCTCCCACCCCTCTCCGCAACCCCCCCCTCCCCCTCCCCCTCCCCCGCCCCCGCCCCCGCCCCCGCCCTCTCCGCCTCCTCGCTCCCGCGCCCAAACCACGTGGTGCGACAGGGTCGTCGGTCGCACAAAGCGTCGACGGATACCGCCGACGCGGAGGACGCGCAACCCGCTTCTCCTTCTGCGGACGGCGCTGGTGCTTATAACGAAGCGGCGGCTGCGGCGGCGGCGGCTAATAACGAGGCGGTGCGCGCGGAGCTGATGGGCGCGGTGCAGGCGCAGGCGGAGGCGGTTGCGCGGCTGGACGCGGCGATGGGCGCGCTGCAGGAGGAGGTGGCGGAAGGGCGCAACGCGTCGCTGCTGCTGCTGCTGGAGGCGGAAGAGGTGCGCGCGGAGGGGGAAGAGGGGAAAGGGGGGGGTACGGGGGAAGGGGCGAAAGGGGAAGGGGGAATGGGGAAAGGGGAAGGGGGAACGGGGAAAGGGGAAGGAGGGGAGGGGGAAAAGGCTTAGAGGGAGAAGTGGAGAAGGGCGGATTGAGCACGGGAGAAGGGGAAGGACGGAGGGTGTGTGGAGGGAGGACAAGGGGTGAGAGTGAGTGGAAGTGGGAACGTGGAGAAGGGATCCTTGGTTTTCTCCTGCTCTTTTCACCCTCCCCCTTGATCTCGTCTTTCCCATTCCCCACTTCCCACCTCCCTCTGCCATCCTCGCTTTCTGTTTCCTCTCTCACCCTCACCCTTCACTCTTTCCCTCGCCACCCTCCCCCCCCTCTCCACCGCCTTTCGACATTGTCAATACATTGCTTCCCCCCCCCCACTCCCCGCGCGTTTCACCTCTCCCTCTCTCCGGCTCTCCTGCTGCTCCCTGTAACCCACGCTTCCGCCGTTCCCCACTCCCTTCCTCCTTCCTGCCCTTCCCCCTGTTTCTTCTTCCCCCCCCCCGGCCCGTCCCCCACGGTTCCCTCCCGTTCCCCCCTCCCCCCCCCCCCTCTGCAGAAGTACCAGAAGGCGAGCGGGGACGCGGAGGGCATGGCGGAGGCGCAGCGCGCGCTGAGGGGCGCGGTGGAGGGCGTGCAGGGGGAGGTGCGCTCGCTGGGCGCGCGACAGGGGGAGGTGGCTGCGCTGACAGAGCAGGTCAAGGTGAGTTGGGGGGGATGATGATGGTGATGGTGATGGTGATGGTGATGGTGATGGTGATGCTGATGCTGATGCTGATGCTGATGCTGATGCTGATGCTGATGCTGATGCTGATGCTGATGCTGATGCTGATGCTGATGCTGATGCTGATGCTGATGCTGATGGTGATGGTGATGGTGATGGTGATGGTGATGGTGATGGTGATGGTGCTGCTGCTGCTGCTGCTGCTCCTTCTGTATCATTCCATGCCATGCTCTCTCATCATCCCCACCCGTCTCCCCCTCTCTTCTCCTTACCCATCTCGTCCCACTCCTACCAACCTCTCCTTCCCAACCCTCTCATCTCCCCCCCTCTTCCCCCCCGCCCCATCCCACCGTGTCCCGTCCCCCAGTCCCTCCAAGCACTAGTAGTGTCGCTGCCACAGCAGCAGCAGCGGGCAGAAGGCGACAACACTTAAGTTGACTCAAAACACACCCCCCCGCTCTCCCCCCTCCTCTCCCCCGCCCTCCCGTCCCCCAGTCCCTCCAAGCACTGGTAGTGTCGCTACAGCAGCAGCAGCAGCGGGCAGAGGGCGACAGCAGCACGTCTAAAGCGCCAGCACCCAACGGGGACGTGCATCAGCACGCGATTCCAGGGGTGGGGGGGGCATGGCAGGAGCAGCTACAGCAGCACGTGCAGGAGCTCAGGCAATACGTGGACAGCCGCTGCGGCGACGCTGTCTCTGCTGCCAACGTCTCTCTCAAGGTATGCGCGATTGCTATCTGCGGGTTTCTGTTTCGTTGAACCCTTGAATATAGGTCGAAGTCAAGGTCAATCGAGGTCAGTCGAAGTCAATCGAGGTCAATAAGGGTCAATAAGGGTCAATAAAGGTCAATAAGGGTCAGTAAGGGTCAATAAGGGTGATTAAGAGACAAAGGACTCCATTCCTAGAATCAAGGTCCAGAGCCTTGAGTCGACTGGACTCCACAGCACCCTTGGTCCGTGAGTGACCATGAGAACATTTCAACGCCAAAAGCATCCCTGGTTCGTGTTGCTAGGCGACGTGCAGGAAGTATCCTTATCCCCCTAGTCTTGGCTTGTGCTGACTCGAACGTCGCCTTCCCTCGTCCCCTCAGCCCCCTTAGCCCACCCTACCCAACCCTACTTAACAGCACTACACCCGGGGCTGCAGCCCTACTTGCACTCTCTTTTTCTCTCCTCTCGTCGTCCCGCTTTTTCTTCTTACTCCCGCTCCGTTCATCGCTCGGGCTTCCTCTGTCCTTACCTTCCTCTGTCCTTCCTCTGTCCTTACCTTCCTCTGTCCTTCCTCTGTCCTTCCTCTGTCCTTCCTCTGTCCTTCCTCTGTCCTTCCTCTGTCCTTCCTCTGTCCTTTCCTTCCGCTGTCCTTTCCTTCCTCATCCCGTTCACTCACTCACTTTCACACTCGCTCCCTTGTTGCCTTCTTCGTCTCCTCCACACCAGGCACTGGAGCAGCAACTGCTAGAGACGCAGCAGCAGCAGCAGCAGGCGGCAGAGGTGGCAGCAGCAGTGTCAAGCACACAGGAGGAGGCGAGAAGAGCGAGAGAGATGGTAGAGGCATTGCAAGACGAGGTTGTTTTGCTCGCTGCTTCTGGTGGTAGTGGGGGTGGTGGTGGTGGCGGCGGTGGGAGTGAGGAAAAGGAGAAGGAGAGGGATGAGACTGAAGGGAAACGGGAGGTCCGGCTGGCAGCTGCCGAAGCTGCAGTAGCCTCGGTGGCGGAGCTCCGAACCAAGCTGGATGCCATGGAAACCGCCTTGGGAGCTTCTTTAGAGGCAAAGATAAAGAAGACAGTGTCTGAGACAGTGGAATCCACTCAGAAAGCCAGCAATGAGAGCAACATGATGACTCAAGAGAGAGTGTCTAGCCTTGAATCAAGTCTAGAAGAGCTGCAAGTGACTGTTGAGTCGACTCAAAAGTCCACTCAGGGAACCAACAATGAGAGCGATATGAAGACTCAAGAGAGAGTGTCTAGCCTTGAATCGAGCATGGAAGAGCTGCAAGTGAACCTTGGAGATGTGGAGGGCAGCTTGGGAAAAGTTCAGATCCGCGTCGGGCACCTGGTGGAAAAGTTTTCGCCGCTGGATGAGGATATCGGGCAGCTGAAGGAGCTGGTGGGTAGGTTGAAGAGTGAGGTGGAGGAAGCAAGTGGGAAGATTGCTGCTGTGGAAGGCAAGGCGGGGGCGGCTGCCGCTGCTGCTGCGGCTGCTGCTGATAATGCTGCTGCTGCTTCCGCTGCTGCCGCTGCGGCTGCTGCTTCACCTGCTGCTGCAAGTGCTGCTGCTGCTGGTGGTGGTGGTGAGTCAGTGGTAGTAGTAGCAGCAGCATATGAGCATGCTGTGGCAAGAAAGACGACGGTGAGTGAGAGAGTTGGAGAGGAGGAGGAGGAGGTGAGGGAGGAGGAGAAGGTGGTAGTAGAAGATGTGACAGCTGGGGCCGTGGTAAAGGGACAGGTGGGAGGAGGACTAGAGACAGGCACCGCAGCAGCAGCAGCAGCGGCGGCGGCGGCGGCAGCAGCAGAAGCCACGTCATCATCATCGTCGTCTGCAGCTGCTGCTGCTGCTGGTGCCGCTACTGCTGCAGCAGATTCTGCTGCCGCTGCAGCAGCAGCGGCGGCTGCGGCAGAAGCAGCGGTTGCAGCAGCAGCAGCGGCTGCGGAGAGTGCTGCAGAAAGGAAGCTAGCAGCAGTGCGGGAGGAGTGGACGAGCGCTCTAGTCACGTCTATATCTGCTGATGTGTCTGCAGCTAAGGAAGCAGCAGCAAGGCTCGAAGACAGGCTGAACGAGAGGTTCGGAGCGGTGGATGTAAGGTTTGGAACGGTGAACGAGAGGCTCGAAACGGTGAATAAGAGGTTCGGAACGATGGACGAGAGGTTCGGCGAGGTGGAGGAACGGGTGGCGGAAACCGAGGCTAGAGCCGTGGCTCGGGATGGCACTGTGTGCTCTGTGGAGGCTAAGTTAGTGGCATTGCAAGATGATGTGGAGGGGAGGGGTGAGGCTGTGAGTGAGGTGAGGAAACTGGTTGAAGAAGAGAGGGAAGAGAGGCGTGTGGAAGTGAGGGAGTTGAGGGAGGTAGTGGAGGGAGAGAGGGAGAAGGTAGGGGAGAGTGTGAAGGAGCTTCGGGATCAGGTGACTGCGGTGGAAACTTTTGCGGCTGCCCAGAAAGTGGAGCTCGGGCAGCAGAAAGAGAAGGTTTGGGAGCAGGGGGAGGAGATTGAGAGGATTGGGAAGCAGATGGAGGAGAGTGCGAAGAAGCAGCAGGAGGAGCGAGAGGAGGAGAGAGAGAAAGAGAGAGCAGCAACGGCTCTTGCTGTGGACGAGTGTAAGGAGCAGGTCAAGGGGGTCAAGTCAATGGTCAAGCACCTCTCCGAGTCTGTCGAAGAGGTTCGGAACGACATGCGCCCGATTTCCGACGCTGTGGTCGAGGTCCGGGTGACCATGGCCGAGGCTCGGAACCTCCAGCAGGAGGCTGAGGAGGCTGTGGGGAGGCTGAGAAGCAAAGTAGAGGGGGTGCAAGATTCTGTGTTGGAGGTGAAAAAGGAAGTGGAGGAAAATAAGACGGAATTGGATCAAGTGAAGCATGGTCTGCGCGAGTGCAGGGAGGAGGTGGTGGAAATCCGAGGCACGCTTGCGGACGTTCGGAAGCAAGGCGAGGAGGCTCGGGAGGCGCACGAGGGGCTCCAGGAGGAGGTTCGGGAAGCGAAAACGGGGCTTCGGGAGAGCGTCGGTGCGTTGGAGACAGGCTTGGAGGAGGTTCGGCAGATGGTGACTTTGGCTCGGGAGGATATTTCCACTTTCCAGGAAAGTGCTGATTGCACTGACAATGAGGTTGCTTCGATCAAGGAGCAGGTTCGGTCGATTCAAGACGACGTGGGTCTGGTTCGGAAGGATGCTGTTCAGGTCCGGGTGGATGTGGACTCGCTTCGGATGGAGCTAGGTTCGGTGGAGCGGAGCCTGGACTCCACAGCGCAGAAGGCCGCAGCTTCGGAAGAGGAGATTCAGGAGGTTCGGAAAGGCTTGCTGTCGACAGTCCACACGGAGGTGGACAAGGTTCGGGAGAGCGTGGAAGAGGTCCGGGAGGAGGTGAAGGAGGTTCGGGTGGATATGGTTCGGGCGGAAGAGAAAGCAGCAGCGACGCTGCGAGATGCAGAAGCATCGGCACGAAGAGCAGTGGTGGCACTGCAAGGGGAGTTTAAAGCCGAAGTATCTAGCGTGCGTAAGGAGGTAACAGTGGTTCGGGAAGAGGCGGAGAATCTGAGTCATAGAGCCGAGATGACAGATTCCCTTACGTCCTCTCTTACAGACAGCCTTGCACAGGCCCAGACCGACATTTTGGAGGTTCGGAAGGAGGTTGGTGCTGCCCGAACCGAAGCTGGCGAGGCTCGGAAGGAGCTGGAGGCGAGCCTCCGGACCACGGCGGAAGGCTTGGAGGAGAAGATTGAGGAGGCTCGGCAGCAGATCGGGTTGAAGGCAGCAGCGGTGCAAGCAGAAGTTAAAGGGGTGCAGCGCGATTTGCAGGAGCGGGTGGGAGAGATCAAGTCGGTGCTTAAGGAAGGGGAGGAGGCGCAGTCTCTAAGGGTGGTTGCCTTGGAAAAGAAGCTCTCAGCTGTGGTGGCTGGAGGGGAGGAGGCGGTGAGTGCGGTAGCAGCACGACTAAACCAAGTAGCAGAGGAAATGGCAGACGTGGCAAACCGAGGGGAGCAACACGCAGCAGATGCAGCCGCAGCGATTGAACGCACAGAAAGAGAGCTTGCGGCCGCAGTGGCATCATCCGCAGCAGCGGCAGCAGCAGAACGAGAGGGGATTGTGGAGCGGGTGAACGGGCTGGATGTATCGGTGCAAGGGCTGGAAGAGAAGGCGGAGGAGGGCAGGCAGCGTGCCGACGCTGCGGATGCAGCAATCAAAGCAGTGCAGGCAGAGGTAGCAGCAGACAGGCAGAAGGCTGAGGATCGAGCAGCGGAGGAGGAGCTGCGGAAATGGACAGACGCGGAGAAGACCCAGGCGCTGCAGGGCGATGTGTCCGCGCTGCAGCAGCGGCAGGGCGAGCAGGAGCGCGAGCTGAAGCGGCAGGAGGAGGAGCGGGTCGCCGCGGCTCAAAAGATGCTGACGCGGCTGCAGGCGGATGTGAGGGCGCTGGTGGAGAAGTTGGAGGAGGTGGTGCGGGAGGAGCAGGCGGGGGTGCGGGGGGAGATGCGGAGCGCGGTGGTGGAGCTGCAGGGGGGGCTGGCGGAGGTGAAGGGGGGGTTGGGGAAGGTGGAGGCGCAGCTGAGGGATGTGGAGGGGAAGGCGCAAGGGGGGATTACGGCCTGCCAGGAGGTAAGTGCATTGGGCGTGGGATTGGGAGGGGCGCTGGTGTGGGTGTGTGGGTGTGTTGGTTTGGGACTGGATGTGGGACTGGGTGTGAGACTGGGTGTGGATGGGGTGGGGGTGACCCTACGCATGGATGTCTGTGTGGGACAAGAGATTCACATCGTGTTCGATTCCAAGTTCCAATGAGCTTAAGATACCTTACTTCCCTCATCTCTCCCGCCATCCCGCCTCTCTTTCCCTTTCTTCCAGCCTTCTCTCTTTCCCTCGCTACCTGCAACCCCCCACCCTTCACCCTTCACTCAAACCCCCCCACTCACCCAAACCTGCAAACGCCTCAAACCCTACACGTTGTCAACCCCCCCCGTGCCCCCAAACGTGCACCCCTCAGGAGGAGAGGCGGCTGGTGGGGGTGTGTGCGGACATGAAGGGCGAGATCCAGCGAGTGGAGGGCGATTTGAACGCGCTCTCCATGTCACACAGCCAGGTGCTGGCGTACATGCAGGCCAAGCAGGCCAAGGAGGCCAAGGGCACCGGTGAGTGTTCTGTGCGGTGGGGAGCGGTGGTGAGTGGTGGTGTGGGGCGGTGGGGGGCGGTCAGGGGTGGTGAGGAATGGTGAGTGGTGGGAAGAGAGAGATAGGCAAAGGGTTGGTATGGGGTAGCCAGCGAGAGGCACAGCCAGGTGCTGGCGCACATGGCACCGGCCACATGGCGCACAAGGAGGCCAAGGGCACCGGTGAGTGTCCCGGGGTGGGGGGAGGATTGGTGAGGAGTGGTGACTGGTGGGAAGACAAGTGTAGGCGAAGGGAAGCAGGCCAAGGAGCCCAAGGCTGGTGGGGATTGTGCGTGGTGGGAAGCTGCGGGGAGAAGTGGTGAGGGGCGGTGAGGGGTGGTGAACGGTGGGAAGAGAATGGTAGGCAAGTGTGTCCCCCCTCACCATCTCCCTGTATCTCCCCCTCCCCAGGCATTATGAAGTGGACGAAGCGCAACATAGCATCGCGCTCCGAGGGCCCCTCTCCCCATGAGTCACCGCGCAACCTGCCCAAGCGCTGGTGGCCCCCTTCCCCCGCCACCGACGTGCACAGCAGCATGCGCTCTGATACCAGTGATGATTTCCGTGACCGGGAGTGAGACATGCTCTTAATGAGCGCTTTGGAGTTTTTTTTTGTTGCACTTTTTCCTGATTTTGGTGAGGGCTGGTACACGTTGAAGGAAAGGCTTTAGGCTACATGGTTGTGAGTTAGCCCACGTGTTTGTTTTCGGTGTGTGTAGTACAGTGCACTTAATTCGGTATGTGTAGTACAGATACTCGGTGACTAATGGTAGGCTCTGCATGTGGTGCAGTTTTGAGTCAGGCTAGGGGATAATTTTGCTATTGCACCATGGCATGTAGGTAGTAACTAACATCTTTTGTTTGTAAGAATTTTGATACAGGCTTATGTAATATGTAGGAATCGATGTTTTCATACCGTAGCTTGTCTGCAGCAAGGTTGTGCTAGGCCAAGAAACATTCCCCGCCACCACTCTGTTAATGGGTGGCCGTCATCGTTCTATGGTTAAGCTAGGAACACAATCCACTGTAGGACGGTCCTACAAACCAGCGAGCTCGCTTTAACGAATAGAAACCACAGATTCTGTCGTGGATGTGCCACCGCTTCCCGCCAACAACCTTCTCACCAAATTCGAAGCACACAGTGACCGTTGAAACAATTTGTCCCCCTTTTCCCCATTCCTCCCCGGAACAAGCAGGTACATGCACTTCTGTTTTGCTCGTTCAATGTTCATGTCCGCAGCCGCAACAAGTACAGTATCGCGCGGGAATCCTGGCACGGTCGCAGTAGTGCTTGCTAATAGGTGATAGTGCTTGCTAGTAGGTGATAGTGCTTGCTAGTAGGTGATAGTGCTTGCTAATAGGTGATAGTGCTTGCTAGTAGGTGATAGTGCTTGCCATTAGGTGATAGTGCGTGTTTGGTGATCGCGTGAACCGCGCGCGTCGCGGGCTGGCTGGCTCTTTTTCCCTCCAGCCCGCGCATACCAGCATGGCTCTCGGCGGATCGCTCGTCGCGGCGAGCGCGCTCGGGTACGCATTCAGGTGCGCACGGGGTGTTGGAGGAGACGAGTTTAGAGTCGACTGGATAATGAGATCTTCGCGTTTATCGACCTCCGGTACGCATTCACGTGTGAATGAGATAAAGGATATGAATGAGATGAACGAGATGAATGCGATGGGCTTGGAGCACGGGTTGTGCTGTAGTGGTGGTCTTAGAGCACCGTCCTGAGGTGGTCTCGCCGTCGTTTGAGACGTCGCATAACATATTTTTTTGGAGCGTCATGTTGAGATGATATCGGAGCACGGGTTGTGCGGTAGTGGTGTTCTTAAAACACCGTCCTGAGATGAACACCCCGTCTTAAAAGACGTCTCAGCCTCGGAACATGTTTCTGGAGCGCCGCGCGGGGATTATATATTTTACGTAGCTCCTGCTCCTCCTCCACTCGCCGCTCCGTGCACCATCAGTGTCGTCTGTCTCTCTGCTTCATATGCCTCATCAGCCTCGCATTTTGACGTTGATTCTGTTGCCTCTGGGTCGACGGATTCTGTTGCCTCTGCTCTATCGCTTCGCTCTATCGTTTCCTGGCGCACACTCTCGTTCCCTCCACTCTCATCCCGGCATTCCCCCCATCCCCGCTTCCCTCTCCTCTCGTACTCACGTCTCTCAGTCTCACGGTCGCGCCACTCTCCAAATCTCACCATCCCACGCCCTTTACCCTGCTCCCCCTACCCCACTCCCCCTACCCCGCTCCCCCTACCCATTCCACTCCTCCTTCCCCAACATTCTGAAAGCATTGCTAACACCTTCCGCATTTCTGCCCCCCCCTCCCTTCCGCCAACCGCCATTCCGCCGCCCACAGCGGAACTTTCCCGGAGATCCGCAGCAGCATCGCCGGCGTCAGCGCAGGGATTGGCGGGGGTACTAGCGCGGGTACGGGCGCAGCGAGTCGCGCGGGCGCCAGCGGGAGCATGAGCGCAAGTATCAGCGCGTGTGGGATGAGCGCGGGCGCGGGCGTGCGCGTATGCGTGGGCGCGAGAGGGAGGAGTAATGCGCGCTGCTCTGAAAGCCGCAAGCACAGTGCAGCTGTAAAACACCCGTTTCTTTCGGGTAGAACTTTCCGGGCAGCTCGTCGGTCAGGTTCGCTTGTTCGGGCAGCAATGTTAGAAGGTCCAGGGTCTGGCTCCTTAGGGAAAGGGGCGGGTAGGCCGGAGGGCAGAGAAGGGAGGGGAAGGGAAGGGGGGAATGAAGGGGAGAAGAGGGGAGGAGGGATGGGCGTAAGGAGTGGGAGTGGAAGCGAGGAGAGAAGGGGAGAGGGGAGGATGGGAAGGGGCGGTAGCAGTGGTCCGGAAGGTGCAGGGGGAGCAAGAAAAGATGCAGTGAGAGAAGTGTGGCAGGGGCAAGGGCAGGTGAGCAGGGCAGCAGCAGGAGGCGAAGGAGGAGGGGGAGGGGGAGGAGGAAGAGGTGGAGGCGTGCAGGCTAAGGGAAGCGCCTGGCAAGGAGAGGACGGGAGAGCAGCAGCAGGCGGATCAAGCACAGCAGCATCCCGCCCGCCAACAACCACCATTGCTGCCGCTGCTGCTGCCGCTGCCGCTGCTGCTGGTGCCGCTGCTGCTGGTGCTGCTGCTGCAGGAGCGAGGATGAAGCAGGAGGCGAGAAGGTGGGGCGGCAATGGGGAAGCGGCGAATGGCAGCGGCGGGGGCGCGGGGGCGATACCTACTGATGGAAGAGTGGCTGGAGCGAGGGGACGGGGAGAAACGGGCAAGCAAGAGGGCGGGGTAAAGCCAGGGACAGGGGACGTGTGGGTAGATGGCTCACAACGTGTTGAGGTCAGCCGTGGAAAATCTCCCGCTGCTGCTTCTGGTGCTTCTGCTCCTACTCCTGCTCCTACTCCTGCTCCTACTCCTGCTCCTACTCCTGCTCCTACTCCTGCTCCTGCCCCTGCTCCTGCTCCCGTTCCTGCTGCTGCTGCTGCTGGGGCTGCTGCGGCTGCAGCTGCTGCTGCTGCGGCTGCGTCTAACGCTGCCCGTCAGTCAGTCCCTCCAAAGGAAGCTCCCTCACCTGTGCCCAGTACCCAGACCCGGCCTCCTCCCCCTCCTCCTCCTCCTTTAGTCCCCGGTGGTACCAAGACAGACGGTGGCTTGACTGCAGGGAGGGGGGGCACTGCAGGACGGACGGCTGCGGGGAGTGCTGGGGGGAGCGCAGGGGGCAGCGCAGGGAGCAGTGATGCTTTTGTCAATGAAGGTAGGACTTAGTTCCATGTTTTGTGCCTTTCTTACCCCGTCTCCTTTCCGTTTCCCCTTCCCGCTGTCACCTCCCTATTCCCACGTCAGTCTGCTTCCATTTAGTTCGTCTTCTTCCTCTTCTGTTTCCTCAACAAATCAATCGTCCAATCCCTTTTTTAGTCATGTGAAACAGCAACCCATGGCTTGTCCATCTCAGCTTAACTCAATCAAGCTGCTCAGCATTGCACTCCTAACTTCCTTCCCATCGTCTCCTTCCCAACGTGTCCCTGACTCCGGGCACCAGGGCTGCTGGTGTGGACGGAGCGGCGGCAGCAGTGGCTGGACGGGAACACACTGCGCGGCGCGGGAGGGAGAGCAGAACGCGCAGCAGCAGGAGGAGCAGCAGCTGCAGCGGGGGTGGGCGGAGCGGGAGGAGCAGTAGGAGTGGCAGGAACAGCGGGAGCAGTAGGAGCTGCAGGGTATGATGTGCGTGGTGATGGGAGTGACAGACCCAGGACGGCTGGCCCTGTGATCAGGTGAGTGTGTGCGTGCGGCTTTTGAGTTGACTCAAAAATCACCTTGTTATGATGTGCGGGGTGATGGCAGTGGCCGGCCCAGGAGGGATGGTGCACTGGGTACTGGTACTGCTGCTGGTAATGCGACGAGAGAAAGGCTTATGTGACGAGAGAAAGGCTTATGTGACGAGACAAGTCAGAAAGCAATGAGGCCAATGAGAGAAAGGATCAGTTCCCCTTTTAGTTCACCCCCCACACCCACTCTCTCTTTCTCTGTATGGAGCGTGAACTAGTATCAGTTGTCAACATTATTTTTTCATCCCACTCAAGCCGTGACACACACTTTTCTGCTCGCCTTAGTTTGTGCCTGGAAACCTCTGTCTCACTGCCCTCCCACCCGCCCTCCCTCCCTCCCGCCCTCCCTCCCTCCCGCCCTCCCTCCCTCGCACCCGCTCTCCCTCCCACCCGCTCTCTCTCCCACCCGCTCTCCCTCCCACCCGCTCTCCCTCCCACCCGCTCTCCCTCCCACCCGCTCTCCCTCCCACCCGCTCTCCCTCCCACCCGCTCTCCCTCCCACCCGCTCTCCCTCCCACCCGCTCTCCCTCCCACCCGCTCTCCCTCCCACCCGCTCTCCCTCCCACCCGCTCTCCCTCGCACCCGCTCTCCCTCCCACCCGCTCTCCCTCCCACCCGCTCTCCCTCCTTCATCATGTCGCCCACACCATCAGGCCAGGGAGTACATACGAGGATTTGCTCTCCACCAGTCGCCCTTTCCCCCACCCAATTCCCCTCCCAGTAAGCCCTTCCCCCTCCCCATAACTCCCATCCCCCCATCGGCTTTCTCCCACTCACCCACCTTGCAATCCCTTGCATTTTCCTAACACTAACTCTCTTCTCTCTAACAGGGCCCCTTACAGCACTCATCCATTCCCCCTCCCTGCTCTGCCTACGACCGCCATGCTCCCTGCCTGTCTCCCTCTCGTGCATCCGCTTCCCCCTGCATTGGAAACTGATTTGTTCTCTCTTACACGATATGCATGTGTGAGATGCATACATATGGGTGGCTCGGTTTTGAGACGTCTCTAAAATCGTATCCTTACACAACATGCATGTGTGAAACGCATACATGGGTGGCTTGCACCAAGGATGAAAGCACCTCCGTTCGTTTGCTTCTGCTGTCATCCACGCGTCTTACAAGTCTGCTGCCCCTGCGTTTGCCGCTCCTGCGTGTGTGTGTGTGCTGCTCCTGTGTGCGTCTGTTTCTCGTGGCCGTGCAGGAGATGGTTCGGTTCCTCGTCAATGTGTGGGAACAGGAGGGCCTTTATGACTGACTCAATCTACACTACACTCACACTCGGTACTGTACATCCTGCAGTTACATACTCGCAGTAACAGACTCACAGCAAGGCTGATACTATACACTGGTGATTCTGCAGTCTGCAGTAACGTGCACGTTCAGCACATAGGGAATATCAGATCCCTCATGGACTCTTACTGAAATCTGCGCCATGTCCGGTTCCCTCCATGGATCTCTATTCCTCACGCGAGGCATGCGAGCAGGTAAAGCATGCATGCAATCTTGTTTCGCTTGCGAAGCCTTGGCAAATCTAGCTCGCATTGCAAGCGGTGTGCAAAGCGTGGGAGCAAGCCAAGCAAACGAACAAGTATGGAATGCCTGCGAGAGTATGGGGCTGGATCCTTCTCACGTGCTTCAAGACTGGACTCCAGGTAGGGCCAGGTAGGGCCTTGTCTTTACCAAACTGACAGGATTGTAGAGGCACAACCTAAAGTGTTGGTACCATTTGTTGGCCCGAGTAACTAGATTCATTGATACCGTATCTTGGAGTATCTAAACTCTAGTGTACTACCGGAATGTGAGTGTGATGTGAGGGGAACAAGTGAATCTATGTAAATTAAGATATAGTGCTGTATTTATCGACCTATAAGGTCTTATTGCCAATATTTGAAGTTGTTCACACTGGAACTATGTATTATGCAATAACGATACGTCCTCTCCTAATCATCGCTCTTGCGCAGGGTTGGTGTGACGGCTGTACATAAGTACCGTTGGGTTGCACTATTTTGCAGCACTGGCAAATGATTAGTAAACCAGTCCATACGATCCTGTCATCGCTGAAAGCGTGCTCACCCCAATCTCAGGCGGTTGCATAACACATATATATATAGTATGTTTAATCATATAATCATTCCGCTCGTGTAACATGTTCGGACATTCCCTTTGAATCTTCTGATCTCCAGAGCTGCAGGAAAAGTGAGGTGGAGCCGGTGGCGGAATCTTGTGATTCGAATCTGGCCAGCTCAAGAGGGAATCGAGCCTTCTGAAGTGCCAGAAAAGTGACTCCCGCTATCGTGGACGTTGAAGAAAGACCACGTGGACAGCGTTAAAGTCCAGCAGGCAACTCCGACCATGCCTAGAAAATTCCGGGTCAGGTTTCAGGGAGATGTGCGGCTCTGTGTTTCTGCTCGGTATGGTGCGGTTCTGCTCCTAATTTTTGTGTTTCGTAGGCTTCACCTTTATCACAGGGTACAATAGAGTCCGCACTCGTGAAATGTGAGCACGTCTGCCTGGTTCAGTGCGGTTCATTTTCATGCACATTTCAACTGTCTGGTCGTAGCGTCCCTACCAGTTGACCATTGGTGCTGTCTAGCCTTCCATTATCCATTCCTTCAGCGTGAGTGACAATGGTCCCTGCTATTTTCGTTGGGGCATAGAACTTTGTACTGGTCTGGAACGTACTACCTTATTAAAGTTCTTCCTTAGTGCGTGGTGTTTTGGGCCTCGACACGTCCTCTTTAGTGCGTGGTGTTTTTGTAGTTGATGTTATCAGTGCTGTGTGATATGAAATGATGCTTTCACCACTCTGATCGCGATTCGACGTTGTCAGCTGTCTTTGCGGGGACTTGATTGTCCCGTTTCTCTGGAACTTAGACATAGCATTTAGTGATGGTGTCGACGCCTGACAAGAATGCTGGATCTGACAGAAGTCTTGTCCTGCATGAGCATCCAGAGGTGTCAGGAGCTATCTCCTTCTCATGCCCATCACCACACCGTGGTCCATTGCCAGTAGCGTCACGTTTCAGGCAGGCTAAGATATCATTCGCGTCAATAAAAAATCAAGTAGTCGAGCAAGAAGTGGGCGAGAATCAGTTGGCTCTTCGTCTCCGAGTTGTAGGAGAGAGCATTCAAGGAGCCGTATCGAGGATTCAGCTCCCTGCGCTTCCTGCCTTTAAGCTTCCATTCTTCGACGACGATCCAGTTGGTGCAATCACAGCTATAAATCATGTCTACGCTGGGACGATGGCTCGGACGATATCTCAGGTGTGTGTGGTTGGTCTGGTTTATCGGCAGGTTATGATCCATGTGGCATCCTTCTTACAGGTTGGTTGTGGAATTGTGTTTTGCTAGGTCCTCTGTCATCCAATTGACACAGTTAAGACCAGAATGCAAGTAAAGGACCCCACGAAGAAGTTACGGAAATGGAGACGGAAGGTAGTAAAGAAGGCTTTTGAAGTCGGGCCAATCGACATTGACAATTGGTTAATCAAGGGCCCGTCGGATCTTTTTCGTGGAGTGTGGGGGGCGATTCTGGGAACAATTCCCAATGCGATGCTTTACTTCATTGCGTACGAAGGTAAGTGATTAAATGTTTCACAACTCATGGTTTACTAGGATATTTGGCGTTTCACAAAAGCACCGTGTTGTGTTTACAGCCACCAAGAAAAGGTTGGAAAAGAGATTTCCGCCGGGACCGGTGCACGTCGCTTCTGCCACAGTTGGGACAGTTGCAGCATCAATTGTCCGGGTGAGTCACAAAGCCTGACTCAAGATCTTAACAATATTCCTTGCTAATTTGAAGGCTCGAATTGACTGACATGAAGCCGGGCATTACGAGCCGCTGTTGCAGGTTCCTGCTGACACGCTGAAGCACCGAGTACAAGCCTACTTGCACCGAGATGGTGAGATGGCTTATCCTGCTCTCCTTGTAGAGTTTTTTCATTATAGTTGTGAACTGTTTCTTGTTTGTTCATTTAATAAACTGCATATACTCATATATTTTCTGTACGTTCAGTGTTTGAGGCCCTCAAGGTCGTCCTTCAGACTGAGGGAATAGCTGGGCTATACAGAGGCTTTTGGCCTACTCTTATGCGAGATGTTCCTGAAATTGCCATTCAGGTACCTTGCAACTCGATTTCTAGAAAGCAAGTCTTGCTAGATGGCGTGATTCATGTCTTACCGAGTACATGACAACTGTTGTCTGCTTCTGTTGCAGTTTGCGGTCTATGAGAATCTTCGGGCATTTGTGAAGGAGAAGAGGAAGGTTGAAAAGCTGACGTGAGTATTCATGCCCTTCGTGTGACCCCAGCAGCAGCCATTGTCTTCGAAACAAGCTCACTTTTTTTTGTTGTCCCTGAGCAGAACCCCAGAGCATCTGTTGCTTGGAGCAGTTGCAGGAGCAGCTGCTGCAACATGCACAATGCCTGTGAGTTTCTGAAAATCTTTTTCTTTAAGCAATCACCTTTTGTGCATATGTACTTCGTGTGGTAACTCGTGTTGCTATGCGTGGTTGCGATTTTCAGCTTGACCTTGTGAAGACCCGGCAACAGTGTGGCGTCTCACAGGGCATTCACAAAATTGTTATGGCTGTAATGGCTGAAAGTGGGCCATCTGGGCTGTTGGCAGGACTGGTATGTGCACAAGGAATATGCTGGACTCAGTCTTTTTCCACACATGGATGAACTGACACTCGTGCTTTCTGTGCAGGGTCCCCGAGTCTTCCATGTGTCGATGATGTCTGCTGTGTTTTTTGGACTGTTCGAGTATTGCAAACTGGTGAGTGTTGCTCTTTACCACATACTTCAGTCTGATTGCGTTGAAGGTCAAATTGATGGTTTCGGTATAACAATCTTCTGGATGTTTCACATTGGCAGATCGTGAAGCCCGATAGGTCACCCTCTGACAAGCTGTATCTTCCGAAGATCTGGAACAAGAGAAGAGACCACATTTGGAAACGTCAATTTGTTTATACAGAGTAGTCTCGCCGCCGTGCTGGTACTTGTTGACACGTTTTTGCATTCGATTCAAAGCCTGTTAGAGAGTCGCACTTGCCCTGCATAGGCTACAGATTTTTCCATTACTAGTATTACACTTCTAGAACTGTATTTGATTCTTGGGATTTATGGGCATCAGCCAGACATATAATGCACACTAGCTCCTGAACTTCTACCACGCAGCAACCTAGTAGGTAGCGACACTACAATGGGTGAAGGGCAAGGGGAGCAGGAGAGTGTTAGAGTGAGGACCTTGGATAGAATAGGAATGCCTTAGAAGAGTTTGGTAGCGGAAGTCTTAGTTGTAGGAACTCTGATCATAGTGAATGTAGATGACAAAGTTGATTAAAGCAAAGATTACAAACATAATAAATAGCTCCTAGCTAGCCATGTACTCTGAGGGGTACATTCCCTTATTCTAACTACTTTACAGGCATCTCTACAGTGACTCTGACAGTTGCACTACTTTCTTGTTACCGAGTCGCTGCATGTAACCTGTACATATGGTTACGCCTGTTGCCATTCCTCGATGGTAAGTCAATCTTCGGTTCAGATGGTCAACAGTCGCGACAGTTGACTCTTGCGACTGTTGACCTTCCTCTCAAGAGTGGTTAGCAACGGAATGGTTGGAATAGAAACGAATGGGGTACAAATAAGCAACCCTAGAAACTGTACCCCCTAGAGTGCAACTCACTACAGCCTATCATATCAATGTTCAACATTTGACACACCCCCATAGGCTAAGTGAGGGGCATCAAAGCAAGCAAGGTGAACAAACGGTCACAAGACCAGTCAAAGCAAGAACCAAGACAAGCTCAGGGTGGATCTCAAGGACACCACACAAATTCCGAGCGCAAGCAAGCGGCCACAAGGCCAGTTCAAGAGTTCACTAGGATATAAATAGAAGGCACAACAAGCAGAGCAAGCAACAGGACTACAGCAACCGAGGGCCTACCTCAACTAGCCCCAACTGCACACAGAACCTGTGGTGGTCACCAAGCGCCAAGGCCTTGGTGAAGACGTCTGCAGTGTTGGCCTCTGAGGCCACAAAGTCCAGGCGTGCCTGGCCGCGTCGGTGCAGCTCTCGCAGGAGGAAGTACCTCACGTCAATATGCTTCACTCTGCTCTCCAGTCGAGGCTCTCGACACAGGAGGATCATGGCCTTGTTGTCAGCGTACAAGGTCGGTGCAGAGCGAGGCCGCTCACCAAGGTCGGCGAGCAAGAAGGTCAACCAGCGAAGCTCCTGTGCCGCCATGGCACCCGCGTAGATCTCTGCCTCTGCACTGGAAGTAGCCACAGACGACGACCGTGTAGACCTCCACGACACAGCACCAGCTCCCAGACTGAAGCAGTAACACTGAGTCGAGCGCTGAGTCTCCACGTCGTCAGCGTAGGAAGAGTCACAGTGACCAGTCACCGCCACTGGCCGAGTCCCTCCAAGCACAAGCCCCATGCCTGATGTAGTCGCCAGGTACTTCGCCACCCTCACAGCAGCTGTCCAGTGGACAGGGCGGTGTCTCCCAGTCGCAACAAAGCAAGAAAGGATGCTGAGGGGAAAGGCGAGGTCCGGTCGAGTACAAGTCATCAGGTACATGAGGCAGCCCACCAGCTCTGCGTAGGGTCCACTGGACTCAAAGGGCTCGTCAGGAAAGGGGCCCGTGAGTCTGTGGTCAACAGCAAGAGGAGTGGGCTGAGTGGTGGAGAACTGGAAGTCGAACCGCCGAAGGACCTGCTGCACCATGTGTGACTGCGTCAGTGTGATGGTGCGAGCGGCTCTGTCCCGGGTGATCTGCAAGCCAAGGTAACGCTGCAGCTCACCCAGGTCAGTGCACTTGTGTCTCTTCTGCAGTTCGGACTTCACCTGAGCCAGGGCTGCCCTGTCTGCTGTAGCAAACACCAAGTCGTCGACGTAGACAAGGATAAAGAAAGGAGTAGAACCCGCTCGAACAAACAGCGACGGGTCGGCGGAGGACGGGCTGAACCCAAGGTCACGAAGCGTGGAGCGAAGAGTGTCGTGCCACTCACGGGGCGACTGGCGGAGACTGTAGACTGGTCGCCTCAGGCTCCACTGGGTCCCAGGTGGGAAGGTGTCAGTGAAGCCAGGAGGACGGCGCAGCCAGATCTCCTCGTGCAGTCGGCCCTGGAGGAACGCAGTGGAGAAGTCGAGGGAGTGCAGCTCGTAGTCTCGCTGCGCTGCTATGTGGAGTAACACCCGAAGAGTAGTCATCTTCGGGGTCGGGGCGAAGGTCTGGAAGAAGTCAACTCCCTCACGCTGACTGAAGCCCCTAACCACGTAGCGCGCCTTGAACACCGGCGGTGCTCCAGGCGGTCGCTTCACCTTGAAGAGCCACATGCCATCGACTACGTTCGCCCTGGGAGGGGGAACTGCGTCGACGTAGGTGCCTGTGGATCTCCAAGACGCCAACTCTGAGTCCATAGCCGCTTTCCACTGAGAGGCCCACGCCCCTGACACAGCCTCGCGGTAAGTGCGAGGAGTCGGTATGTCAAGGGCGTCGGGGTCTCCCTCAGGGGAGAGCAGCATGGCACACACAGAGGGAGAAGCGGCTGCCCAGTACTCCAGCTCAGACTCTCTGTCCTCTAGGACGTCACAGCCAAGGGCAAACCCACCCCCGACGGACAGAGGACGGTAGGGAGGAGCTGGCACCACACGGGTGGCGTAGTCAAGGCGGCTGGCGGCAGCAAACTCAGCGACAGTGGCAGTAAGAGCAGAGACCGACGACGGAGGGAAACGAGAGTCGGTGACAAGAGTGGCGAGGACACGTGCGGCAACAGGACGAACAGTGCGGTAGTAGTCAGTGATAGGAGTGGGGAGGGCTGGGAGAGAGGACGGAGGAGGAGACGGGAGAACGGACACAGGAGAAGGAGAACGACGACGAGACGTACAAAGGAGGGCAGTGTGGAGGTCAGTAACAGGGGACGAGTGACGAGCACGCGGAGGACAACGAGTGACCAAGTCGCGACGGACCGAAGGAGGAGGAGACTGGGGAGGAGGAGAAGACCAGACCGCCGGACGGTCGTCAGGAGGAGGCAACGGAGGAACAAACACAGGAGGAGACTGGGAGCGGACAGGAGGAGAGGAGGAAAAACCAAGGGCCCGCAGGCCACTCACAGGTGGGAACAACCGCCGCTCCAGAGGAAGCTGCGGTGGCGGCTGCGGCTGCTGCTGCTGCGGCGGGGGCTGCGGCTGCGGCTGCTGCTGCTGCGGCTGCTGCTGCGGCTGCTGCTGCTGCTGCTGCTGCTGCTGCCGCTGCTGCTCCAGAAGGTCCAGCACCCGCAGCTCCTGCCGCTCCCTCTCCAACCTCTCCTGCTCCTCACGCTCACGCCGGCGGGCAGCCTGGAGTCGTGTGTCGTGGCGGTGGGGAGGCGGAGTGGACTCCGCAGAACCAGGGTCAGACTCCTCAGACTCAGCACCCCCAGAACCAGCACCTCCAGTGCCCGGACCTCCAACTCCAGCACCCCCAGAACTAGCACCGCCAGTGCCAGCACCTCCAGCTCCTGCACCCCCAGAACTAGCACCACCAGTGCCAGCACCTCCAGCTCCAGCACCCCCAGAGCTAGCGCCACCTGCGCCAGCACCTCCAGCTCCAGCACCCCCAGAGCTAGCGCCACCTGCGCCAGCACCTCCAGCTCCAGCACCCCGCGACCGAGTACCCCCAGACCGAGCACCGCCAGTGGCTGCACCTCCAGCTCCAACACCAACCGAGTCCACGGTAACCTGTCGCGGAAGTGCCGAAGGCTGCTGAGGGGACTGTGAGGAGGACTGCGGGGAGGGAGACGCTACCTGACGCGCGACCGAGGGTAGAGGGGTAACGTGGGACACACCAGACGGGGCAGGACCAGGGGGGGGCGGGGGTACCGGAGGAGCGGGAGCAGGAGGAGGAGAGGGTGCGAGGAAAAGAGGGGGAGGGGGTACCGGGAGACCTCGACAGGGGTACCGGGTGTAGTAGGACACGGACTCGTCAAACCGGACGTCACGGGAGTCGAGGAACTGGTGGAGGGGAGGGTGGTAAAAGGACCAGTCGGCAGAGTCCACTGGGAAACCAAGGAAGACACAGGGGACGGCGAGTGCCGAGAGCTTGTCCGCGGAGGTGTCGCGAACAAGTGCAAGGCAGCCCCAGACTCGAAAGGCCGACCCGACACCAGGGGAACCAGTCCAAAGACTGGTCGGTGAAACCTCGGGCCGCGAGACACGCGGCTGGAGGTTCAGCTGGTGTGCGGCGTAGCGAACCGCGTGGGGCCACAGAAAATGGGGCGCACGGGCATGGATCATGGACGTGCGGGCGATGTCCATGACCAAGCCTATGCGGCGCTCAGCAACCCCATTCTGCTGTGGGGACTCTGGCAGCGTCCAGGACTGGGTGATGCCCTGTTCGCCGCAGAATCCGCCGAGAATGCCGGAGCGAAACTCGCCCCCACGGTCGGAGTGGAGACAACTGACTCGACGACCACGAGTGCCCTCAGTGGCTAGAAGCCACCTGATCAGCGTGGCAGTCACCTCGGACTTCTTCGCAAGAGGGAACACTGTGGTGTACCTGGAGGAGTCGTCGACGACCACCAGAAAGTAACGCTCCCTCCCAGACCCCTGCATCGGGGCAGGGCCCCAGACGTCCAAGTGGAGAGTCTCGAAGGGAGCGGTGGCCGGACGAAGGGAGGAGGAGTGGGGAGTGGCGCGTAAGTGACCGGCGACGCACGGAGAGCAAGGAGGGGCAGGCGAGAGAGGGAGCGACGGGAAGGTGCGTGGGAGACCTGAGACAAGTCCCTGACTGAGCATGCCACGTAGGCGAGGGAGCGACGGGTGGCGAAGACGGTGGTGCCACAGGACGGTGCGGTGGGTGAGAGAGCGACAGGAGCAAGACGCAGCGACTGGACTGGACACAGCGACCGGACCGGACACTACTACCTGGCTAGACACAGCAACTGGACTGGGGACCTGGGCCGGAGGGGACGCAACGACCTGAGGGGAG